GCTGGCCTCAGACTCACAGAGATCCACCTACCTCTGCCTCCTGAGTGCTGGGGTTAAAGGTGTGTGCCACCACCGCCCGGCTAGGGTCCTGACTTCTTTACTCCCGTGCTCTCTGAAGTGATGTCTTGGGGGTCACAGGCCCAGGGGGTTGGAAAGGAGAACTGAATCTAGAAAATACCCATCCTGGTGACATAATAGTCAACTGGCTACTAGCCAATTCCACTGCAGGAGGGTTGGGAGCAGAGCCTCCTCCGTTACACTGTCCCCCACTCCCCATTTCAATAGACAACACCACACCATCTAGCCTCTAAGGTCAACTACTAAGAACTCACCTTCACTAGCCTCTTCCTCCAGCCCCCACATCTAAGCCTTGAGCAAGTGTTGGCTGGGGTCTTGACCCTCAGAAGCATCCCCAACCTGACTACATCCCCACCTCCCCTGCCCACCCAGATCCTGGCACTGTGCACTCAGTTGTAGACTCAGTGCCTCTATTTACCTGACCAGCCTGGCCCGCTTGCATTCAGTGCAATCCTTGGAGGATCGGGTCACATCAGTTCCACACCTGCCTGTGCACAGACCCTCTGCAGCCTGCAGTCACAGCCACCCAGAGCTGCACACCCCTCCTGCTGGCTGCTCCCTTGCTGCTTGTTTCCCAACACATCCTCACCAGGGCAGTTCTTGAGATTTCCCTACACTCCAGAACATTGAGTGAGTGAGAGAGAAAAGCAGGGAGGATGTTGCATGTTGTGGGGGATGGGGACGGGGAGGATGCTTGAGGTTGGGAGAAAAAGTGGGGCAGAGAGGATGCTCAAGGTAGATGGTGTCATGAAGCGCACTCAGCACAGAGCACTGCTGTTAGATGAGGAGCCAAGTCTTGGAGATGGGTCATTCAAATAGACCCTATGAATATGGGATTGGGGCCACTCTGCTTCTACTGCTGGGTTCTCCTGCTGACACACACCGCCTCCAGAGCCCAGGGTTGAGAAAGAGCACTCTACGGAACAGCAGAATTCTGGAATTTCAAAGCATATCAATGACACTTGGAAAGTTTGTCTCCAGAGAAACCAACACTTCTCTAGCTGGTGGCCCCTCTCCGCTGTGCTCTGAGCATGGAGCCTGGCTTCCTCAAGATTTCCTCAGAGGCTTTCAACCTGCGTGCCTAATGCCTCTGCTCTCCTGTGTGGCCAGAGGACATACCTACTTAGTGTCCTTGTCATTACCTCTCCATGGTGCCCGCACCCTGTGGCACTCAAGCCTCAGGCACTAGGTCCCAACAACCCTCTGCATTAGTTGGCTAGTTAGAAACTGGTAGGTTCCAAGGCCATTGAGGACAGACCCACCCTTCACAACCGGCAACTTGGAAAACCAGGAGCTGAAGCCGCAGGACTGGGGCCTGGCAGAATGGGATCTGAGTTGTTATCTCTGGCCCTGGGTGGAGACATGGCTTCTGAACTGCCAGAAAGATCCTAGGACTTCTACCTAGCAGAGGCTTCCTGGTAAAGAATGAAGACATAACTTGCCTGTCCCTTAGGGATTAATCCAGTGGCCTGTCAATCACCTGCACAGGAAGGCACCTCTCAGGAAAGCTGTCTGTCCCGAAGACTTCAGGAGCACAGTGTGAAGTCTGCCTACACGTGTGGGCAGCAGGACCAGCTCTCTGGTCACTGTCACTGCGTTTCCCTCCATAATGGTTCCTTGGGCCACTGCCCACTCTCACCTTTGAGAGTGTTCCACACTATGATATGTCTCATCTGAATTCTTTCCCCAGAGATGACAAGGAGCCTAGATCAAGATCCCAGTAACAAGAGTTATTCTTCAAAATCTCAGTTCCGTTCTCCAAATCCATCTGGTCCAAATTCCTCAGGGCTGCTTCACTGAACTCTCCTCCAGACTTGTCAAGGCTCAGTCCTTCCACCTCTCCCACAAGTTTTGGTGAGCTCCTCTGGGCTTCTGCTCCTTCTTCCAATGAAAATTCACATTCACTCTCTCTGCCTAGCACAAGTATTCATTCACCAATTTTCAAAGTACCCACTATCTTCAAGCCACGACTGAATATAGTATTTTTTTAAATGATCAGGTGCTGTGCCAATAAGACATAGTCCACAGTCTGGATTTCATTTAAGAAGTAACAGAATTCTATGAATTGTTTACAGCAATGGAATTCAGCAGTAAGCAGGGCTCGGAGCAGCAAGACAAATGTGTGCAAATAGCAGGAGATGGAGCACGGAGTACAAAGCCAGACAAAGACCTGCTGTGTTGCTCAGGCTAGCTCAAACTCCTGGGCCCAAGCAATCCTTCTGTCTCAGGCTCTGGAGCTAGGACTACAGACATACTACCACACCCTACTTCAGAGACTTTTTAGATAGAAGAGAACTGGAATTACGAAGCTCTCCCACTGACCTTTGTCTCCTCCATGATTTAGAAGAGAGAGTCATTAGTCAACGGCAAAGCAAAGAATTACATTTTCAAGGAGGAAGAGTAAAAAAACAAAAGCAAACAAGAACAAACCCCTAACGATATGATGTGCTGTGAGGCTCTGGGTGTCACAGTACCTAACCACCTAAGTAAGGCTGCCTATTGTTCCACTGACCGTCACACCCCTCATCAGAGGAGGCCTGGGTTGGCAATACTCCATACACAATGCCACACAGCAATGTCAGGGAGCTGGGGACCCACAGGAGGAGGGCAGATGCTGGTATTTGAGACCTGCCTGGATTCCATTCTTTTCTCTTGGCTGACTTTAATTTGCAGCCCTTTTCTGTAATAAACCAACCACCGGTTATCTCCTTCAGTGAGCTGAGTCCTTCCTGTGGACTATGACCAAGGGGGTGGCTTGGAGAACCCCACCCCAACTTGCAGTGTGGAGAGCAGGGCTGTTCCCCCTAAATTTTGTATCTCAGCAATATTCACAGCAGACTTGAACTCTCCTCAGCTGTTAAAACAGAAGTGTCCCATGGTAAGGTGTCAACGTTCACCCTGCCCTGGAGCTCAGTTTTGATTTTATGTCTTCTGTTCTGTTCTTGTGCGTGAAAACATTCTTTAGAAAGTGTATACAGGCTGGAGAGATGGCTTCAGTGGTTAAGAGCACATGCTGCTCTTCCAGAGAGCACCCACCTTGAGCCACTCACAACAACCAGTAACTCCAGTTCCATGGTAACCAATGCTTTCTTTGGCCTCTGCAGGCATCTGCATGTACACAAGAGGCAGGTACACACATGCACGCGTGCACACAAATAAAAATAAATCTTTTAAAAGCATTACTTTTATAATCAAAACATTACTATTAAGAAATGTCCCTCAAAAGCTGCCTTTAGGAAATGTCATATGTCATTGTTCAGCAGAGAACGAAGCTAGGAAGTGCTAGAGCGGACAGCAAAACCACTTCCAAAGCACCCAGACGCTACTTTAGTGGGGACTAACTTCTATTCTTACTTCCTTGGGTTAATTTGTTATCATATTATATCACCAAAGTTCACGTGAGCAAGTAACAACTTCATTAAGAATACAAATCCTAGCTGGGCAGTGGTGGTGCGTGCCTTTAATCCCAGCACTCGGGAGGCAGAGCCAGGAGGATCTCTGTGAGTTCGAGGCCAGCCGGGTCTACAGAGTGAGATCCAGAACAGGCACCAAAACTACACTGAGAAACCCTGTCTTGAAAAAAACAAACAAACAAACAAACAAACAAACAAAAATCCCGTCCATACTTTTAACTAGTCAAAATCATTCTTAAAGTTTCACATATGCTTTTGAACTGAGGGTCTTTCCATTAACAGTAATACTTTTCCATTTAGTTTTGTTTTGCTTGAGGTAGGCCCAAACTCTCGATCTTCTCATCTCTACCTCCAGCTCTTGAATGCTGGGGCTATACATGCCTACTTTTCCATTCTTGGGAAAGGGAACTCACTATGTAGACCAGGATGGCCCCAAACTCACAGAGATCCACCTGCTTCTGCCTCGAAAGTGCACCCACTTAAGAGTTCTAATTGAAAATTTTTTGAGTGAAATTACCTCTTCACTCACTGTTGTCCTCTAGTCCTCTCCTCAGCTCTCAACTCAGAAGCCTGTGCACAAAGTATACAATCCAACTTCCACACCTCCAACCTGTCTATTTTGTGCAACATTCAAAAAGTGAAATTTAGTTAACACTCTCATTAGACCATTTTATAAAATTCTCCAAGAACCTTTCACTTCAATCAATTGTGCAAGTTTAACAAGGTATTGTAACTTTAGGCAAGTGAAAGTTGTAAACAACATTAGAAAGATCATTGTCCTGATGGGTAGCTGGGAAAGATTTGGGAAGAAATGTAAAGGACCTGCCATCCAAGCCAGTAAAATAAACACGAATGCAGTCTCTATGGGGACTGCAAAGGAGGCTGTAGCTTGGGTTTGAACAGCACCACACGCAACTGTGAAAGCCGCTACAGAGTAGACAGCTGCAACTCTCATTACTCCAATTTAATTGCCACAATAAACTGGCTGTTCACGAGCTAATAAAATGAGCCTATTTGATAGCTAGAAGGGACTTAGTTCTAGAAATGATGACAGCTCAGAAGAGTTGAACCTTATTACCCTGAAAGCTGACCTGCTTGTCCAAGACGCCCTTCCCGGGTAACTAACCCCTTACTACCATGGACAGGGGCAGGGGGGAGGAGAAGGAAGCAGACCGACAAAAAATAGAAGAGTTCGGTTAAAGGGGATGAGGGTGGGGGCATAAGATTGGAGAAGGCAGACGTGCGACAAAGCATGCCTTACAAAGACTTCACAGCCCACAGACGGGTGACAGCACTTTATGACAGCAACCCCGACATTAGCCACAGAGAACGCTTGGCTCCGGAGCTGGGTGTCGCGCCCAAGGTCAGGCAAAAGCCTGAGGTTGCAAACAGGGTCCGATTCTGCGGGATCGGCAGAGAAGGCAGCGGACCCCCGAGGGGACTGCGGCTCGGAGGCCGCCGGGAGCAGCCTGGGGTCGTGGCCCCGGCCGCCGCACGCACTGCACTTACCCGAGGCCCGGGTGGGGTCGCCCAGTGCTGCGGCTCCTCGCGGCCGTCGGCTGCAGCGGCGCGAGCGGCGACGCATCATGCGACCGCGCTCATGGCCGGGCCGAGTGGACCCGGATCCGCTCGGTTCCCCTCGGCTCGGGCCGGCCGGGCCGGTGTACCGGAGGCAGCAGCCCAGCGGAAGAGAGAGCCCAACGCCGCGGCCTGGACAGCGGAGCGGAACGACCCCGGAACTGGACACGGCGAGGTCAAGGCGCAGCGCTTGCGTACTTCCGGCCGCGACGCCCGGGGCTTCCAGGAAGAGGTTTGTGAGGACACTGGCGATTTCTTCCGCTACCGACCTCCCAAAAACCTAACGGTTCTTGGAGAAGAGACAGCACTTACGGCAAGACTGCTAAACGGAGATCCCTGAGAAGGGTGGCCCGGAAGATAAGAACCGGCGCCTACGGGCCGCCGCGAGGGCCACGCCGCGTCGCCATTCGTGCGAAGAACTCTCCTGAGAACTTTTCCCGTGGCACCCTAGGTCTAGCAAGTGGCGACTCAGATCCTCCCTCAAGGCTGGCCTGTGCCAGGTGGAGGATGGAGAACTACGGAGATGGAGGACGGACGCATGGGAGTGTAAGCAGCTGAGCCAGAGGGCGTTGGGGAGCCCGTGGAAGCGCCCTGGACTGGGGATAGGGTGCCTGGGTCCGGACTGCACAGCTCCACGATCTGGTTGCTGGAGCATCGTTGCAACCCCTTCCTGGTGACAGCTCTGAGTTTTGCAGAGGTAGAAACGTGCGTGTTTATCCCCTTGGCACGATTTGTTGCACCGTTTGTTCAGGGCAGAGAAGTGTGTGGTAGTTAAACTGACGGACGCGGGATGTGTTGTAAGATTGGAAAAGGCTATCATGAGAGCGCAGGGATCTAGCCCGTGGTCTGTATGCCATCTTCGCGGAGTTTCCCGTCCCTGCGTCCAGAAACTGCTATTCGAGCCAGACTTTTGGAAGTAAGGGTGCATTACATTAACTTTCCCAAAATTACAGCGTTTAAGGCTAAGTGCACGGCTACATACCAGCACTAGTGAGACTGAGGCAAGAGGATCCTGAGTTCGAGACCACTGTAGACTACATAGTAATGCCATCTCGAAAAATGCATCGTTTGGTTTAAGTTTTTATGGTCATATCCTTTTAAATTTAAACTTTATTTTTATGTCTATGGGTATTTTGCACCACACGTATGCAGTGCTTGAAGAGGCCAGAAGAGGGCATTAGATATCCTGGAACTGGCATTAACAGTTTTGAATTGATTCCCTTACTGGTGCTAGGGAATCAAACCTGGGTCTTCTGGAAGGGCAGCCAGTGCTAATAATAGACGAGCCTGTTCTCCAGCCTCCTTTATGGTTTTATCTTGTGCATCTGTATGTTCAAGATGGTAACCATCTTTCAGTCAACTCTTGTTTAGCCTGCCCTGTGTAGCTGTTTCCTCAGTGGGGGAAACATTTGCTCTTAGAGGAAAGGGAGGCTCAGGAAACTCACAAGGCCCAGGAGGCCTCTCAGTTCATATAAGCAGTACACTGTTGCTGGCCAGAGGAGACCTTCTGGAGCCTTGCGGGATGTGTCAGGAACTCCAGTGAGGCAGTCTTCAACAGTGTTTTCCCGTGCTAGGGTGGGCTATTGGTCCTCAGTCATCCATGCACCTAAAAGTAGCCCATCACACACACATTTGCAGGTAACCTCAAAGAACTCATCGGTTCACTGAAGTGGACTTGAATACAGTTGGGACAGAATAGAAAGACAGGGACATCAAGGGACATGGGAAAGAAGCCCCTCACCCAGGGATCTACCTGACCTTTCCTGTTGACTGAGAGTTAAGAAACCTCAGCCTGATTGATAAAGGCAACATTGCCTACAGAGGTAGTGTGCTCTCCTCAAGACAACTCAAACAGGATGTTAAAAACAGGAAATAAACTGTGCATACTCATGGCTAGGATGTTTGTGACTGTGACCTTGAGTACCCAGCCTAGCTGAATAACAAAAGCACAAGTGGAGGCACACCACACACACACACACACACACACACACACACACGCAAGATTAAAATATAAATTAACCTTGGAGCTGGCGTTAGAGATGGCTCAGTAGTTAATAGCACTTGCCTCTTTTGCACAAGACCTAGTTTTGGTCCCGGTACTCACACGCCAGCTCACAAACCATCTGTACTCCAGTTCCAGGGGATTTGATGCCTTTTTCTGACCTTTGAAGGCACGTGGTGCACAAACATATGCATGCAAAACACTTATATACATAAAATAAATGTTGAAAAAGTTACCAGCTCATATATTTTACTTAATATTTACTTTTTTTTCCCCTTGAGGCAAGATCTCATGTAGCCCTGGCTAACCTCAAACTTACCAGGAAGACTTGGGTTCCATTCCTAGCACTGTGTAAACCTGGGTACGATGGTAGTCAGGATGGCTCATGCCTGTAATTCCAGCACTTAGAAAGTGAAGGTAGGAGGGCCCAAAGTTCAAGGTCATCTCAACCCTTTACTAAATTTTAAGCTTTGCTTAATCTTTAAACCTTGTAAATTACATCTTTTGGGGAGTGTAACTTAAAAGGCTGTAGGTTCATATGTGTGGCCATTGTGAAGACACCTAAGCATGCCTTCCTGGAGAAGCCCACACACCTGTCTTGAGATGTGTATTACCCTCCTCCTCTGTGACTGTCTCAACACTTAATAAACTCACTAACTTTGCTTCTGTTTGGCCCATCCTGAAATCCTTTCCTACAGCCAAGTCCAGGATACTTGGGTTGAAAGCCCTGAGCAGGAAGGGGACTCCTGAGGCTGCTTGTGGCTGTATCTCCCCACAGTCACTGACAGAATCATTTCTTTAGTCTGGAGTTGGTGCACTATCTAAGGTGAACAGATGCTTGTTCATGTCTAGCCAGGAAAAGCCATGCAACAGCCCGCTATCCTGGTGGTTTTGACTCCATGACCACTAGCTGGTGGCTAAGGTTTTTTTGTATATCGTGAAGGGAAGGAAGGTTTTGTTCCTCTAACACCAAGACTGAATGGCCACTGTAAGTGGCATGTATCTCCAAAGAGCAATGCTAGAAGCATCTCTTTTCCCAAAAAGGCAATTTCAGGTTCTGTACAAAGTGAAATGAGCATGTGTCAGTGTGCGGTAGCTCAAAGATGAATCTAGAAGACAGACAGATACATGCATAGGTGGTCAGGAATGCTGAGATGGTCTGCTTAATAAATACAAAGTGACTTTCAGGGGAGGAAGAGGTGAGCTAAACTTGTACATGACAGATTTGTCTGTGTGTGTGTGATATCTGTGGACAAGAATCACTGGCAGCCAGTTATGTGGCTCTCTAATGGAATCCCAGCACTTAGGAGTCTAATGCAGGAAGATCGCTATGAATTTGAGTTTAGCCTTTGATACAGAGTGAAACCTTATCTCAAAAAAGCCACAAAATATGTAACGATGATGAGAAGAATCATTGCACTAGCAGTCTTTAGTTACAGAGATCTTAAAGACAGCACTGCACAGAACCAGTGAGCCAGAAAGGTGGGCCAAAACAGACCTACTGCTTTCCTAAGCTACAGCAAAGAAATCAGAACATGTCACACCACAATACACCTCTAACTTCAAGTGAGCTGAAAGTCACTGGAAAGCTTTCTCTGCCTCCCCGACTCCAGCCTACTGACAGTGAAGTCATGACTGGAGACTTCAGACTCCTTCACCCAGGAAGAGTGCAGAGAAGCGTCCTGTGAATTTCTGAGAACATAATCGGCCTGCTTGGCCTGCTGCCCTGAACTCTAAGACTGCTTTGGCCTGCCCTTCGGCCGACGGATTCTTGGTTGACGGTGTCAGAGAGGCCGGATTTGCAGCCTTTCCTGGGTTTCCTCTATGTGTCCAATGAGGTACATAGAGATAAATGGCTGCCTATTTTTCTCCTGGCAGTCTGTCTGTGTTCCAGGGCTCCAGCCCAGAACTCAGGAGGAAGAAGGAAAAGGGTGTTCTTCCTCTCCCATGTGCCCACCCTTTGGACCCATTCCCAAGTCTTTCACAAGAACTAGAGAGTGAAAGGACCCTCCTCTTGGCCTTGTGAGCCACTCTCTGTGAAAGCCTGGAACCTCTGAAGTAAAAAAACGTGATGCCCTCTTAGAAATACCAGCTGGAAAGAAGTGCAGTTTCTGGGGCAGGTTCCCTAGCATCTAGCCTCCATTAGAAAATGTTCCCTGAACCTGAACTAAGCTTTTTGTTTGTTTGTTTTTCATTTGTTTATTTGTTTGTTTATTCATTTTGGTTTTCGTTGAGACAAGGTTCTCTGGATAGCCCTGGCTGTCCCGGAACTCACTCTGTAGACCAGGCTGGCCTTGAACTCTGCCTCTCGAGTGCTGGTATTAAGGTGTGCACCAGCACTGTCAATCCCTTTTTCTTTTATTGAGACACTGCCTCACTGTGTCTCCCTGGCTGGACTGAACTTGCTATGTCAACCTACTGACCTGAGTCGAGTCCCTGGGATCCACATGTGAAGGAGAAAACCTAGTCCAACACATTGCTCTCTGACTTCTACATGAGCACGGTGGCATTTGCACACCCCCCAAACTGCTTTGTTAACTTGTTCCATCCTAATAAATAAATAAAATGGGGTGTTTTGTGTGTGTTTGTTTGGTTTTTGTTTTTGTTTTTTGAGACAAGAGTTTTCTATGTAGTCCAAGTTGGCCTCATTCTTTCCACCCTGTCTTACAGGTATACACCACACCCAGCTCTGCTGATTCTAAAGTGTGTGTGTGTGTGTGTGTGTGTGTGTGTGTGTGTGTGTGTGTGTGTGCGCGCGCGCGCGCGCGCGTGCCAGAAGGACAAACTTGGGTGTCATTCCTCAGGAGCCATCCACCTTGTTTTTGGAGACTGTCTCCCCCTGGTCTGGATCTCAGTGGTTTGACTAAAGTTACTGCTCAGTGGAACCCAGGGACCTGCCTATCTTTGTCCCCCCAGCACTGGGCTGACAGGCATGCCACCACAGCTGGCCTTTTTGAAAACATGGTTTCCAGGGATGAGACTCACATCCTCATCCTTGTGCAGCAAGCACTTTCCTGACTGAGCCGGCCCCGAGCCAGACTCCTGCTAGCTCTCTGAGTATCTCTGTCTCATCTCAGCAGCATCGGTATTCGATCTGCCAGTCATTTCCTTTCTCTCAGCCAAAGTGATTGAGAAAGGCCCAGCAAAACTCCACAACAAAAGATTAGACTTGATTTCTAAGGTTTCTTCCTGTTTTGCCACCATGGTTCATCAGTCTCATTTCTCTAAGAGCCTTGGGGCTGAGGCCCTCTTCCTAAAAAATATTTATTTTATTTATAATTATGTGTATGTGTCTCTGTGTTGGCCTGTACACAAAGGTAGTGTCCACAGGGGCCAGAAGAGGGCGTCTATCCCCCGAAGCTGGACTTAGAAGCGGCTGTTACCTGGCGGATGTGGGTGCTGGGAACCAAATTTGGGTCTTCTGCAAGAGCAACAAGTGCCCTT